ATGGGTGTAGGTCTCGTATGAAATGTGCGAAGGAAGAATATATCGTCGTTATGAAATTTGATATGCGCTTTTTTGAAAAAATAGCGCGATTTGTTTTCTGATCGCATAGCAACTGAGGACTAAAAATGAATTCTGCACGACAACGAAAAGACGTTCTGTGAAATGATGTGGGCCAAATTAAGCACCGAACCACTTCCTGAAGCAAATCAGAACGATGTTAAGAAATAAAAAAGCTCTCGGCTTGATCAATCCCTGAGGGATGCGTCATGCATTCTACTTCATTAAGCGTCGTTTGCAGGTGATTGAATGCATATCTGGCCTTTACAATGTCTCGCAGGGACCTACCGATGTATCGTGCCAGTGCTGCTATCCTCCCAGACAAGTCTGGTACCAAGTTGCCGACCCCGGAGGGAAAGAAGACTTAGTGATCCACGGGCACGGGAATCGATCTCCGTGTGTGTTGCAGGACGCCTCCGACCACTGCGCCACACGCGCTCTTGAGAAGAATGTTATGATAACTTTTTTGAGCTCACTGTATGGAATCATTACTGACAATAACTTCCTGAATTCCGCCCTGACCATAACAGCAGAGCTGTCGTGAATAATCGAAAGAAGTGGAGGGTTCGGTGTGCGGCATTGATTCAAGGGGACCGAATCCGTAGTTGCGCGACAACGTCCTGTTCTATACAACACTCTGCCAACACTGCGTTTGAAGTTGGAAGTGGGAGGTGCAAACCCTGCCTCATCCTCTATACTCGAAGAATTCCTCCTCAACTGAATGTCGTTTGTTCAAGTACGTCTGCAATTATTTTGTTTGCTTGAATGCTCTTCAATAACGACGCCAATACTGAAGCTTCAGAAGGACATCGGCCCTCAGAAGGCTAGAGTTCTGTTGTGGTGGAAGTGAGATCTGTGTTGCGTTGGGAAAAACATATGGATTCATAGTGTTTTCCTCTTGATAAATAACGTTTATTGTGAGCTGAGATATGTGCAGTTAAATTCGACGTTTAAGAGACGACATTATTTCTGAGAATTCCGCTATACTTCAATTGTATTCCTTAAATGTTTTCTCTAAAACATAATAATACTGAGAGATTTATAGAAAAGAAAGGGGTAGGCAAGAAGAGAGAGAGAGAAAAGGATAGAAATAGAGAGAAAGGGAGGAAACGGAGAGAGTCGTCCAGGAAATGCGATGAGCGTTCGGGAGCAGGGTATGTGCTGCGTTCGCATTCTGTTGACTGGATGATCGATGGAGTGACTTGTTTTCATTATTCATCTCCATTTCTATCTGGAACGAGTTTCTCATGTCTGTTTTGTATTCGAATGCCATCAGTCCAGACGTCCAAAAGAACAATTTCGACCCTGTTGCTTTGGCGCTCGCGGAATTCCATCATCCATTCGTCTGTAGAAGGCAAAAATATAAAAAGGCAAAAGCGAAATATGCCCAAAAGCACATGAAGCTCTTGAGGATATTCGTTTTTTATCGAACTTCCTAGCATCCCGATGGATGTAAATTGCAATTATTTATCCCTGGGAAAGATTCGTTCAGATGGTTGCGTATTGGGTTTCAGGCTTCGTATTTATTAAGTGGTCTGACATTACAGTACTAGAATAGAGAGCGCAATATCCTCACCTTTTAAACAAATCCACGAGTGAGTCACGAAATTGGATGGAACACCGCCACTAGACTGGCTGCGTGAACCCTTTCTTTTTCTTTCACTTCATTTTCGCTTTATTCCGCATTCGCTCTATCGCTTAAGTTCTCTCCATGTTACATACGAAAAAAGTTAGGAAGAACATTTGAGAAAAACGGATAGAACTGGTCGGCCGTGAAAGCAATCAATTCACCCTAACAGTTTCTCGACGAGACAACTCTCGGGAACAGCCTACGGAACGCCGGTGAGTTTGACGTTAAATGAAAATCAAACACAGCGACGATGAAGATCGAAATGGATGTTGATCCTCATTGATGGTTCGACGACCATTACAATAGTCGAAATCGAATGGACATAAGAAGAGAAGTGAGTTCTCATCAGTCACCTCTATTGTTGTCATTCGCCAAATGCATAAATAACACTTACCATTTCCCGCATCCACGTCAACACTGATCAGACTTGGTAAACATGCACGAGTTGTCATCACACTATTTTTTCAAAAAAGCTGACATTTCAGCGAATTTCGCCTTCCACAAAACCTTACAGGGTCAAGTTGATCGCAATCTTGTGAGCCAAATACCTCTATAATGCCATCAGAAAACCCAGAGACCAACCGCATAGAGATGCACTGTGCATCCACGTAAACTCTTTGCGCTTGGTATCAACGTGGACTGCTCAGAGGAAGACTCATAGAAAGCGGTGAGTGGGCGAAGAAGGCATTTTGTTTCCACTGCCATTGAAGTCAGGGTTTGCTACTTTTTCTCTTAGGTTATGGAGATGTCTGGTTGGGCAGATTGCAACCATCTCGACCCTTCCAGGCTTCGAGGAACCCAAAATTCACCGAAATGTCAGCTTTTGTGAATAAATGTGCTTATCAAGAAAGCAGCGAACTGTTGATCAATGTTGAGGTTAATGGAAAGTCGGTAGTTCTGCTGGTACCAGCGATGCACTTGTTATATAATCAATATTACTGAACTGTACTGGAGCACAATAACATACGATGAGTGTTACTACTTTCAACAATAAAGTAAGTAAAAATCCTTAGCAGGATATGCCAACCCAACCATTTGCTCGTTAAATCTCATTCATAGCTCGATAACAGGTAACCCGATAGTGCTGGGCCATTTACTGACTAATGGTCTGAGAGTACTTTTTGCACTGTTTACTGCACCCCCGATAGAGCATGTTACATCGTCCTGGTCGAGTGGTCGATTGACTAGTTGATAGAATCACCGCCACTTCTAGAGGTGATGGTTGCAGGTCAACCAAACCAATGAAGAATTACGGGGGTCTGCAAGATATGTAGAGAAAGATCGTCTGCGTACCTAAGCAGTTTCTATGGACTCCTAACCTTATGGAAGCTCCGCTTCGTTGGCAGAAGTTCTCTTACGACATAAAATAAGATTAGCTTCAACAGAGTAAAATGCTTGAGTGAAGGAACTTCTTCACGTGAGGAACTTCAAGTTGATCAGTTGTGAGGTTATATGGAGCGAGGTGGAGGATGACAGTCAAGAAACCAGTCAAAGCAACTATAATACATAGTGTTAACCTTTTGACGCACTGGGATTCCGAGTAGGAGCATCCTATCACTGCGGCGTCAGATTAACTTAAACATGTCGTATAAATGTAATCATATTAGTTTATACCCACGTGAATGTTATTGTGTCTATAAAAAACAGAGGAAAAATTGCCTGGCTTTGATGAATCCCTGATGGATCCGTCATACCTTAAACACCAGCACGCGTTATAGGGTCGGTTCAATGCTCCTCTGGTTAACACAGTGACTCGCGATGGCGTACCGATACATCAAGTAAGTGTTTTTATCCACCTACACAAGTTCAGTACTAATTTACTGACTTCGGAAGAATGGAAAGCAGAGTTTACACGGTGTGCGGGAAGGAACTAAGAACCGTGTATATATTGCATAGCACCACCAACAATTGCGATACATGAGCCTGCGGAATGAATGTATGAATTCTCAATTCCACACGTTAGTTGATTCGTCCAAAAAGCTGAAATCAATAGTTTGAGAAGTGTATGGGAGATGGTTCAAGGTTGACTCTTTCTCTATCGCTAACGCCGGTTCTTAGAAACAGATCGATGCTTTTCGAGTCTTTTGAACAAGCACAGCTCATTAGAAAGCTTTCCTCCAGGGTGACAGGACTATGTGGAAATTTCGTTGGTGTTCTGCCGACCCACTTCAGGACTAACGACTAAAGAGTGATGGATAAGCGTTCATTGTGCGTCCAAATGCAGGAGGCTTTATATTTACTGCATGAGTTGTGGGGATCCTAGTATTCAAACGAACTTATATTCCTCTTTTCTTTTTTCATCCTTTTAATTTAGTGAAAATCTAAAACAGTATTTGAGGTTCTTTTTAAGGCCTGCTACCGTACTGCTGCATCGTGCCACTCACGAAATCCCATTGTCGAATCTCTGATAGAAATCGACGACCACTGATTCATTCAATCCTGACAACGCTCGAAATCTTATGAAGGGTCATCGGATCTGTGGAGTCTGAGAGTTCAAGGACAAAGCAGTAGCTGTTCAGTAGAACAAACAACTGGTTCTGGAAGAGTTTGTTTTGAAATCATAGATGTAAATGGAAGCACTCCAAATGGTGTACAACTGACTACACGGAGAATCAAGAAGCTCTTGAATTAAGGAAATGAACGAAGAAGTAGGATTGGAAAAAGACAGCTGAAAAGAGATTGCAAGAAAAAGGTCTACCGTGTTTTATTTCATTCAGAGAAAAAAAAAAGTCTATTCCTGGACTGGATTGCTTAGCGACGTGATTGCTAGGAGCACAGTGAAGAGATAAAGGGTGATTGCTAATGGCACTGATCGATAGAACTAGTTGAGATTCAGGCGAAACGAAAGGCCCGCATGGTGTAATGGTGAACGCGTTAGCCCGCGGAAAGGGTAATAACGCGTTGGTTCCCCACCACAGAAGACACCTGCGGTCTGGAGTTTTGCAAATATCCCAGCATCAGTACGAAAGAGATAAAAGTTTGAAAAGTTTTTTAAACTTTGTATCTCAAAGACGAATGAATACTGTAACTCGAATCCCTTTATGAGGAAGGTCATTCTTCGATCAGCACTACACGATGATTGGTGTGAATTATTCTTAGAACACTGGAAAAGTACATGCAAAGAACAACACAGTGAATATTCTGCTGCTCTGATCAATAGGAGACCATTCATTGGAAAGAAGAAGATTCTAAACAGTTGTCAGCAAAACCTCTGTGATCGCTATAGCTACCGTCTTAAAGAGGATTTTCTCCCTTATTCCTGACGTTTTATTTCAAGGATTTGAAATAAGCATCTGAGAGTGAATATTTTATACTAAGGTGGGAAATCCGTCAGAACCGGATGAATTCGTGGACAGCGTCCGTCGAACGTGGAAATGGTACCAGTTGGAGTCGATCGACGACCAACACTGGCGCCACCGCCGGCACGACTCGTCAGCTCCGTGTATTGATCGAGTTTTCGCGATTCTTGGCCACATAGTAGAGGCGGAGATCGGGACGACGACGCAGGACGATCGTTGGCCGACATTCTGCGCCTCCTCCAGAACCCCTCTCTGGATCATCGTCTAGATGCAGTCGGTGTATCTGAGACAGTGCAGGTAGTAAACGAGACCCCAAGAAGAGTGCCAACTCTAAGAGTGGATCGATATACAGTATGAATGATCGACATGGAATAAATCGATGTTCATTACGTTAGTGAATTAGTGAATAAAACACGAATGAGACGCCATATTTCATCGGGATCGATCGACAACGTCGGAATTTAGTTGTTACATTACTTGCCTTGTTATTTTATAAAGAATATTCATTTTACGACTTCAGCGCCTATACGTTAGTCGAATAAGAGTTTTATAACAACCTCGTTTTAGCTTAAGAATCCAGTGAAGATATCAATATTCACTTTTCACAGTTCCTCAACTTTCGTACGAGTTCGGTCATAGAGTTGCCCTGTCGTAAAATTCTCAGTAGTTATAGTTTACTTCCTCGAAGTGGATGTAGTAGTAAAGTCATGAGAACAATATTGAAGTCGAATTTTTGTCTTATGCGGGTAACGATCCTACGGTTATAAGCTTCTCTTGTGAGATTGAAGCTCACAATTTCGGAGTGGTTTCACAACAAACGCTTTCTGGTTGACAAGAGGCAGAGAACCTTAAGATGGGAGAGAACGGAGCGTTGCTCATCGATGATTGGGATACCTTCGCCGACAGCCACTTCACACCCGCGATGGATGACGCCTAATTTTCTGTGGGCCTTTGGCATAACCTCTAATTTTTCGCAGCATTCAGGGGTGGGGGGGGGTGTTGTTTCTTCCGAAAACATCTTTGTTGCATGAGCTGTTGATTCACTATTGAAAGCATCGAAAATGAATTTTTCATGGTAGATTACACATTCGGAAAGGGTACGCATTGAAACCAATGCGTCATGTAACTCGTGGGTTAGTCACAAATGCATTCTTAAGCCTATGGTCAATGGTAAGGCTCCGATTGTGAAAAAACAACGTAACATTTCTTTGCGTCAACGTCGATGTCTTGGTTAAACTCATCCGTGTTAGCTGTCTAAACTTATCTTCAGAAACGTCGATGTCCATTGCAGTTTCTTCCTAGCACTTTATTCCGAATGGTAGAGTCCAATATCCTAATTCCATCTCCAAGCAAATCATAGAGTCGCTAATTTGAAGCAAAACTTTGTGGAGAAAGATATCAAATACTATGTTATACAGATAGACGCATACACTGTGTGAAAGAGTTTGCATGAGCAAAAATTTGTCCACTGAGAATTCATCAGCTATCAACATCTCCAGGTATAAGTGACGGTGAAACATTCAAAAGAGCCTGATCCAGTATGCTTACTATTCATGATGCTTTTCATTTACGTTATACAAGTGTGCTCATTTAAATTTTGAAACTGGCCGTCATTTAACCTCGGTACTATAATAATCAACAATTGTTTATATTGTTGAGCTTACACGAGCTTGACAGAGATGCTTATTCGGCTAACGTTTCGACGTCTTCGTCTTCATCAGAGCCAACGATCCTTGCCAATGGTCTACAGTTGTTCCCCTTCTCGATATGGGATCTTCATCTCAAATCGAACTGGATCTTCCTTAGTTGAGCACTTCGAATGAGCCGTACTCACTCGGCGACTCTTTTTGAGCTCTGTAAGTATGGTCCATTCGAGGTGTCCAACTGAGGAAAAACTCGCCCTGAAATAGACTGCGCACCAAGAACATCCAGAGTTACTGTGGTAGGAGGCATAACGCTTCCGGAAAATACGCGTTCATTGTTAGAATTGGGTCCGAGTTTCGCGCCTAGTCAACCCATTTCTAAACCAATCCTGCGCAGGATCACGTGTAGTCTGCATGAACTTCAAGATCGGCTACGTTAGGGTTAGGCTAGAAAGGTTAGGTAAAGTAGTACCAAGGGGGAACTACCACCAATACCCTTTCCCCGAACATTCTTTAAACAAGAGCTACCAAATAGCGATATTGACCCTACATTTCGGTTATTTTCGGACGAAATTCTCCGCATACTTAATCACTACCAAAAACGAAAAAGAAGCTCCAACGTCAAAAACCAACAAAAAAGTGGTATGCCCCAGGTTAGGGAGCTTTTGAATTCAAAATCTATTAGACTTTCTATTAGTGATAAAGGCGGAGAATTTGCAGTTCTTCCTAGTCAGTTGGATATTAGGATAACAGAGAAGCACCTCAGTGATGTTTCTTTCTATCGAACATCCTCTGAAAAGGAATACAGAAATCAATACCGAAAATTGAATCAAGAATGGGTCAGCACGGCAAAGGCCGCGGGTTTAGAGCCTTCAGTTATTTCTCGACTTAAGAACGAACACCCGATTTGCCCTGTCCTTTACTTGCTTATTAAAACACATAAGCTTACTTCAACTGATGATATTACATCAGCGAACCCATCATCATATAAAGTTAGACCTATCATCAGTCGTATAGGCGGGCCAACGGATAGAATAACGTGGTTCCTAAACCTTATCCTAACCCAGCTGCTAAAATTCATTCCAACCCATCTTCCTAACACCAAAATATTTCTAGATCACCTAAGGCGCGCGCAACCAAACAGCACGCATGTAATGGAGTCATTCGATGTTGCTTCACTTTATACCAACGTGTCGAATGACTCCACAATGCAAGCCATTCTCGAGTTGATCGTAGAGCATGAAAAGAAAATAAAAATGCACGGCTTGTCGATTGCGCAACCAATGACCCTCTTAAAACAGTGTCTTAGTTGTTCAATCTTTAGGTGGTCTGGAAAATATTTTGCACAAATTAGAGGGTTGGCCATGGGACAGCGTTTAGTACCAAGCCTTGCCATCGCTTCCATGTCTAAGGTGGAAGCTCTATTTCTCGATCACCGACCCTTACTCTACTGCCAATACATAGACGGCTGCTTCATCGTCTGTTCCACGCAAGAACAGATGAATGAGTGCTTTTAAATTGCTGACCGACTAACCGAAAACTGGCTTCCATTCTTAGACACCCAAATAAAGTTCTCAGTAAGTGGCCATATAAAAAAATGGTATCATAAGCCAAGTGGTAAAAACTTTCTAGTTCACTACCTCTCCTCTCATCCTGCACACATAAAAAAAACACTTATCAAAAACATCTACCGCACGGCTAAAAATGTGTACACAGGAGAAAAGGAAAGGAAGGAATCGCTATACCTGGCACGAAAAATAGCCACTTCCAATGGCCACGAAGTAGAAGCCACTTGGGTTAGACAAAAACGTAGAGTAGTTCCCAAAATAATACTTCGGACGTAAGCACGATCCCCTTTAAGCTACCGTTCATATCTAATGAAGTAAGTTACGCCATTAAGAGATGCTTAAAAAAAAGTGGTCTTGAAAATTATGTAACGATCACTGACATCCCACCCAATACCGTACGCCGCCAGTTAGTTTGCAACCGTCTCTATGATCGTTTGTGCAGCTCAGAAAACTGTATGATCTGTCCTAACGGGAGAGACGGGGATTGCATGTGCTCAGGTATAATATACTTGATCTCATGTAACGCATGCGGTGAGGAATATATTGGGGAAACGGATGAATACTTTGTGTCCGCGTAAAAAAATATCTAGATGGGAATGTTAAAATCCGTCTAAACACTCCTCTAGGTACACATGGGGCACAAATGCACAGCGGCGATGATTTAGAAGTGAGCAAAACTTTGAAGCGTTTTGGATAAATTTCAAAAATCGAAAGATGAACTGGAAAGACAAATGCCTCACTATCACACGTGACCTGGCGCCTTACTTCTAAATGGGCCAGAGGAGCAGGATAGGATCCCGTGTTGCAGGGCGCCTCCGACCGTTACACGTGTCCATGAAATGATTTACTACATCGTCTTTTTTTTTATCTTATTTTGATTCGTCTTCACTTCTCTGTGTGGATCCCAGCACTTCTGATATCCATTTAATTTCCTCGCATCCATCGTTCACGAAGGTCTTCCAAGTTTCTACGTGCGGATTGTGTTGCTGCTTGAGGATTTTCATTTCATCATGAATGTCGTAGAATGCTAATCGAGCAATCCTCCCTGTAGCTCTGAGATAGCCAGGCTGGAGAAATCCAAATTGGATTGCATAGAGTGATTTCTTTTACAAGTCTGGTACCAACTTTCCGACCTCGGAAGGATGGACGGCTTGGCTGGTCCGAAGCGGAATCGAAATAGCACCATGCTCGTGATGATGGACATCACTACCACTGTGCTATTCTTCCCGTATACACTGTCTTTAATTTTCGCAAAGGCAAAAGTGTGCAACAGTACTTTCGGGCAGTCAAAATGATGCGGTACCGAGTGCAACACCATCGGATGGCAATAAGAAGTAATTTCGTTCAACGACAATTCACAGTCACACGTTGTCGTGCGACGGATACCATAAAGCTTGAAGGAACTGTAATATGAAAACCTCATCAAAACCTCATCCAACCTCACTCTTTGACAACTATTGCGATTAATTGATAAAGCTGGTAAAAACTGTGCTCCTGCGGAAGATTGCACAGGAAGGTTTGTGAGCTTCACAATGGTTCAGAATAGCGAACTTATTAGCTGAACAAGCCTGCATTCTTCGGTGAAAATATGTAAAATCTGGTTCTTATCTTGATTGATGAAACTTTGTTATGAAATATAACGAAACAGTTTTAGACATGATTAGTTGTTGGTTACAAGACACCAAACTTTCCTATGGTTAACAGGAACCAGCAGACGTCAGTGATGCAGATCTAAGAACATTGTAACGTCAGTGTCTTCGAGATCTAGAGAAAACCACTGCCAGGCGCATTTCAGCATTCCAATGAGGAGAAAAGTCCTGAGATCCTCAAAAGACAAACAAGGCTAAACACGAACCTAATCACCACCATAGATTATGGCTGTAGAGGGCAGAATAAATAGATAATAAGAAGATAATAATAAGAACACGCTGGTAGACAAGACAGACACTACGGTGCGACATTACTGTCCTATTTTACCTTAATGGGACAAAAAACCTGCAGAACATCGGACATTCC